TCCTCCAAAACTCTTCCCCTCTGACTCTATCTATCTCTAATACAAGACTAAATCCTATCGAGGACTAATCTTCTCTTGATTTCTAGCCTTGATCCTGGTGGACATATGAATTAGGGTTTCTGGCTTCTCAGCTCGCAGGATAAAAAATGAGGCATCTGCCCTAGGGGGTGTAGGCAGATATATATAGCCTAGAGTGTCAATCCTCAGCCCTTGGATTAAACCGACTTGAAATAACGGTTGAGATGCATCCTAGGAGGCGGTGGAGAACCGACATAACAAAGAGGATGACAGGCGGGGCCCATAGGGGCCGGGCAGCCTATAGGTTGGGCCGACTGGGCCCACATGTCAGTGGGTCGAGCCCCGCTTCGGTGGAGAGCCTCCTGGAGTCTTTTGGAACCTTCCCATGTTGATCCCGTAGCGGAATTCCTTTGACGAATAGGCCCCCCTTGATGGTTTTCTGATTAAATCCTGCTGGAAACACAGATTCACCAAAACTCGTGGAATTTGTTAGTTTAGACCCCTAAGTCTATGTTAGTGATCTATTTTAGTCATTTATGCAAGGTATATTGACGATTTGTGATGAATGTTAACTACCGTCAACAATGGGACACAATCTTCTAATACAAATGCTAATCATAGGTACATGCAAATGGTAACCGCCAAATCTAAGAGATATCCTCCAGGAAAGGTAGATGAGAATATATGCATGTTTTACCAGCGTCTTTAATCTGTTTGAAAATTTCAGGAAAGTTATTTAATTTGGAATGAATGGAGTATAATAAAAAGTGTTTTTATATATTTCAAACATTTATCGGTAACCTTTCATATATATCTATATTAAGTATCAATGTTATTATATATTAATATTAAGGTGTCTCGACTTTAAGTCCTGCTTTAGACCCTAGAAAAACGAGGACCTACAATGTCCACTAGTGGGCTCGTTCTTGATGAAAGAGTTAATGAAGGCCAAATTTGTTTATATATATAATTAATTTTTTTGCACAAGAAATTGTTAATTTTTTTTGCAAAACTACGCTAATACCACTGATTGAAGCGGCGGAAAGTACTTACCACCAATTGAACTGGTGGAAAGTACATACCTCTAATTTACCACTAATTTTGATAGCAAAAATGAAAAATGGCTGTATTCGCTACACTATTTCGGAGCAACAGTTACTGATTGTACAGTAGCCGTGAGACTTGGCTGCAGCAGCCGTAGTAGTGCTGCTGGAGAGAAGTGCTACCGAACATATAATGTTCAGATGTCTATAGTAGCCAATGAGTTGCCTAGGTCCTAGGAGGACAAGCATGATCTAGACCGACCTTTAATTATTGCTCTCCAGTCAGGCGCTGTCCACATCAGAATTGGCATCCCCTGCCAAATTGCACTGTTGTGCTGGCCGGAAGCGCAACTTTTCATATGCACCAATGGCTGTCCTAAGACTGCCCACAGCGTCGGCACCGGCGCAGCGGTGCTGAAAACCAATTCGTACGTCCGATGACAGGACTCGAGTCTACCTACAGCGTCGGCACCGGCGCAGCGGTGCTGAAAACCAATGTGTGGACCCCACTGGGGCCGTTGACAGCGACACCGCGGGGGCCGGCACCAGCCGCACGGCGGGGGGCGCTCGCAGGCAAGCCGCATGCCTCGGGTCAAGGAATACAATTGTTTATTGTTTCAGCACCGTGGAACCTACATGCCTCGGCTCAAGAAAATTTGTACTCAGCATCGCTGGCTACAATGTTTCTACCCGATGCCCCGTTACTCTCTCTCCTTTCTCAGCATCGGCAAAAAGACACATTGTGGGTAGTCGGGCGTCTCCATCGGATAACTCCGAGCTATCTGACAGCCTACCTGCAGTTGAGAGAAGAACGGAAAATCTCCGCTAGCGACGAGTTCAGCGCCAGTGTCACACGGTTACTGTAAAATGTTTGGCCCCTTCTTTGTCTGTGCCCACCTCACGGCTATACCTTGTTTTTCTTTTTTTTACTTGGCTCCATGCCGTATCAGCCGGCGATTTCAGGAGCTCATCGATCGGGGATGCCCTAAGGGCGTCCTCGAGGAGTAGCTCTGGACTAGCTATTCTCTGATGTGGATAAGAGACAAAGTACGAAGCTCGATCGTCTGTAGCAAGAAACATGTTGCTGTGCTCGCACAGTTTGCCATGAAACGTTTGTCTCTGCCTTTCGGACACACATTCATTAGCTATGCCGCAAGCAAATTTTTTATTGTCACAGGTCAGTTGTGATTTACATGGTGTTGTTGGAGACTCCGTGAGGGCTGGTTTGGAGACTCAAATCCCCTAGAATCGCTGTTTTTTCTCAGGGTGAGCAATCAATTCATATAGATGTTACTTGAATAACACATTTAGTTTTTCATAGGAGGTTTTCGCTCCCTGGGTTTGGCTACCCTTTGTTCCAAATTAGGCCTAAGGTGGATGGTACAAAACTAATAGCAAAATAAAAGACTACCAAAAAGGATGGAAGGACTGATCCACTTGACAACGACCAATGCCCAATGGCAACGCCAGACCAGTTTTGAGACTGTGTGCTCTGTATAAACTTCACTGAAAAAACTCTAGATCATCTCTTCTTCCATTATTCTTTGGCTAGTAGCTGCTTGAACATTGTAAACTTCTGCTTCACTGGGGATTGCTTTCATTTTCAAGCATTTGAAATTTCAAAAATCTGTTTAAAGCTTGGCTGCCATTCTTTATGGATATTTCCATTCCGCTGTGTTCGTAAGTGTTCTGGTTATAAAAAATCGACTTCATTTTCAAAACAACATGAATGTGCAAGTGTGGGTTCATCAAGGAATTTTCTCTCTTGTTACACACAGTGAAGGAAAAGTCTGCACCCCTTTTAGTCTAGTGGGTAGTCTTTTTGTTACCTTTTTTTATTTCATTATCTCCTTTTTCGCCTCTTGAACTTTGCTTTGTTGTCCTATCCTTTCTTTGATTTCTGTTCTGTACCCGCTGGACGACGAGCACCGTGATCGCCGTGGAGGTGCTCCTGCCGGCGGGCCAAGAGGCAACAACGAAGGCTGGGAGTTTCTCAATCCATTTCGCAGTGCCTCCAAGGGTGCTCACAAGTCCCAAGTATGCCCGGGAATCACGAAAAGCAAGGAACCGTACTGTTTGCAAGCAGTAACGTGTCATCATTTTCTGAAATTTGGGGAGCTCGATGTCAAACAAAGTGGGACTGCATCCATGTGAACATACAGTGACACCACCATTTTCTGTCGGGGACCTCCGCAGCGGAGGTCATTTTCCTCACCAACATCTCAATGGGGAGATGCCCATGACGACGGCAGCACCTACTCCATAACCCTTTATTTTCTCTTAGATTCTCTCTATATCCACAGATTTATGAAGCTGCTCACATGGCATATAAATAGCTAAATCTCCTGTAATTTTCACCCCAAATTTCCCGTTTTGTCGTGTGTTGAACATGATCAGGCATTTCTGTCCCGTTTTTGTCTGCTTTAGTATCCTCGTCCAATAATTGGTGTTCATCCAGTGATCTGATCCTACCACTTGTTACCAGTTTACGGTGCATACAGTGCAATTTTAGGAGAGACAGAACTTGTTTTATTTAAACAGACAGTAAAAAATTCGCAACGTCACAAAAAATTACAGATTATACTTATAGAAATTGCAACGAAAAAATTGCAATTTTAATATAAAATTTATGTATTAACCGTTGACTAAAAGGAAGTTAAAATTCTGGTACCTGCATGTGTATATACCAGAGATATTTTTTCATAACTTCTGAGGTGGATAATTAGCACATGGATTTATAAAAAAGATATCTATTATCTTTCATAATGGCATATGTGGGTAATGTGAATGTATACTTAGGGGTACTTTACATTATAGTTCATAATGTCATTAGTAGATAATTTATAAAAAAATATTATGAGGTTGTTTTAAATTATTATATATAATAGTAGATTTGGAAGAGATGGGTAGTTTTGAATTTACTTTCACATTGAAAAGTGTATGGCATTTAGATACAAATTCGGAGGGTTATTTTCAATTATCATTAATTATGGCTTGTGGTTAATTTAGATGTTAATTTATGAGGTTATGTTATGTGATTTTCATATTGTCAGAGGTGGGTAACTTTTTTATATAACAAATATATTGAATGACTATTATTGGCCATAACGATTAAGTATACCAAATTATAGTCGGGATGTTCAAGTTATTGTTAGAGTGTTTAGAGTTTGTCTTTGTTTGTGGTGCGTCTAGTGAGATTTCACATGAACTACTGATAGAAAATTTTATGTATTCTTCCTAATGGAAGATCTTTATTTGGTATCATATGCCAGAACCTATTTTAATAGATTTGAATAAACTTAAAGTTGTTTAACTTATTAGGAGGCGAGAACTATATTCTTTCTCAGACGAGAGTAATAATAGTTAAGGTATTTTTATATATGTCCTCATATGGACATGACTGGATGAATGTGCCAGCATTTGCCATATCATAACGCTAAGTTCAGGTCTCATCTAAGTCCAAATGGAGCTCAACCCACTCGGTACACTGATGTGGCACACTGACTGAGCGCTAAACTAGACCCAACATGTGGAGGCCACATGTCAGGTTCAGCTCCGCCTTTTATTCCTCCTCTTGACTCTAAGAACCCACTTGTCAATGAAATATTTCTCTATTTAATTTTTTTCTCCCCTTTCCTCTCTCCCTCGCCTCTCTGAAATATATATTCTACTGATGAATAGGTCACACATGTTAAAGATAAGGAGAGGTGGACTTAAAATGTGGGCGGGTCTACTTCATTGTACAGTCAGTGTGGTAGTTCACTGCATGGAGTGGCTCAGACAGTTTGGGTCCAGGTGTGACCTGAAACCAAGTTTTAGGCCTTAAAAATAGTACTTGTAGAGTATAAAGACCTAATGACACCTCTTGCCAAGTTAAAGTACTCGGCTATATAGATAAGCTTGCTAGCAATGCAATAATCATTTGCAAATACACGAGCCATGGCACAGGCAGTGTGCTTTCTCTTTCTCCTACCTGCAGCCACCGTGATATCCCATCTGGTTCCGGTGGCCGCGACAGCCAGGGCTGAGAAGATGGTGGCGGCGCCATCGCCGTTGCCAACAAGTCCACCGCCGGACTGCCCTGACACGTGCGGCGATGTAAATATTCCCTACCCATTTGGCATCGGCGAGCCATGCTCCTGGCATGGCAAGTACAACCTCACTTGCAACCACACGTTCAACCCGCCGAGACCATACCTGGGCAACACCGAGGTCGTCGACATCTCGGTGGAGTCCGGCGAGATACGCGTCCGAACCCCCATATCGTCCCTCTGCTACAACTCGTCGTACGACTACGTCAACACGACTCTTACGTTCCACGTCGAGCTGTTCTTGATCTCGGCGGCACGAAACGAGTTCACGGCGATTGGCTGCAACACGCTGGCGCTCCTGCAGGGCCTGAAATACTACAGCGGCTGCATCAGCTCCTGCGTCAGCTTGGTGGACGCCGCAGCTCGCGACAGCGACAAGTGCAACGGTCTCGGCTGCTGCCAGACATCCATCCCTGAAAACCTTGACTATATAGCCGTCAACTGGGACCTCACTAGCAGAGGAAACACCAGCGACAACCCAGTTTGGGAATTCAACCCCTGCAGCTACGCCTTCGTCGCCGAGAAGGGTTGGTATGTACTCCTAATAACCACCAGCCAGTTCATGTCATATTGGTCTAAATTCTATTTGGCATTTTTCAACCTCCAACTCGCATTGAAGTTCCGATTTTCAACCTTCAACTCTGAAACCAGGTAACAGAGATCCTCCAACTGTCAAAACTAGACAAATTTGGTCATCGGCTTGTTTCAAAAGTAGTTTTCTATTTTCTAACAATAATAAAAATCTGGTTCGATCTCTAGAACTTCATAATTAATATATTTTAAATTATAAAATATGAAACTAGTTCATGTTTTCTTCTAAAGATGTTATATATACGTTGATGCTATATTTAAAATTGTTTTTAATTTTGCATGGAATTAAATTTCGCATGGAATTAATTTTGCATGGAATTAAATTGTTCGCTTTCCGTTCTTTTACATGACAGTTCTCCGCGCGCACCGCCTTGCTTTGGCCAAAAACAACTCGAGAGGCGGGCCACGAGCGCCAACCCCTTACAGTAGCATTGCTATCCCCCGCCGGCATTTATTTTAGATCAGAAAAATATGGGCAGTACTTTTTTTCTAAAAACGTTCTCTACTTGTTTATGGTGATCTATATATAGGAGAATTGGTTTATTTATGTTCCTATTGCTTTATTGCTCGTTGTCACACTGTTATTTACTTAAAACAAGTAAGGTCTAAACAATTTTAAATATAGCATCAACATATATATAACATTTTTAGAAGAAAACATGAACTAGTTTCATATTTTTATAATTTAAGATAAATTAATTACGAATTTCTAGAGATCGAACCAGATTTTTATTATTATTAGAAAATAGAAAACCATTTTTAAAACTAGTTGAGGACCAAATTTGACTGGTTTTGACAGTTGGAGGCTGCCTGTTATCCGGTTTCATAGTTGAAGGTTGAAAATTGAACTTCAATGCGAGTTGGAGGTTGAAATATGTACTTTACCCTTTTTCTCAAGTATAAATATATGTATAGAATGGTAGTACCAGAATATTCTCTTCCCGATAATAAAGGAAGCTTGATCTCACACAACCACGTCAAGATGACTAAATCCAAGACAACTTCTGGCTTCTCTTTAATAAATAGGATACTGGATACCATTATGTGCATTAGCTATACAGTGTATGTTTACATTCTTATGTGCATTTCTGAAAGAGAGAGAAATATGTATAGCTACTTTTGGCACATAACATATATATGGTATATACAGTTAGCTTGTATCTTTACCAGAATTTTTTTCCCATGGTGAGTAACTTCTAAGTTTCTATGTTTTAGGTATCAATTCGACCTAAAAGATCTTCAAAACAGTGCCTTTGTTAGGAAGCTTGGAGACAGAACCGTGACAGACGTCCCTGTAGTTCTTGACTGGGCTATCAGGGCGGATGGACCTTATTGTCCTCCCCCGATAATGAAAGATGGGGTGATTGGAGAACCCACTGCTTCCGCCTGTGTCAGCGCCAATAGCCACTGTGTCAACGCCACGCAGGGCTCTGGGTACTTATGCAATTGCTCCACGGGATACACCGGCAACCCTTATGTAATTGGTGGATGCACAAGTGAGTACTATGCACATGGCTTTGACTTCTTCCATTTGTTGTGCGTTTTATCTTTTTTATGGCTAGTGTTTTCTATATGAAGGATAGGAAAATAGTAGGACTACTAATAGAGTGTTTGGTTGCATGGTGAGGGAAGCCTGGCTCGCATCTGGGAACTAGGCTACAGCTGGAGAGGCTGTAGGGATGCAAGCTCCGATCCATTTTGTTTTGTCCACTGAATCCTCGAGACCAGGCTGAGCAAAGCCCTTATTTGGTTGCCTATGCCCTATACTGGGATATGTTACATTGATTTGAAACGAAAAACAAGTACCGAGATCATATTTATTTTGCTTGAATCAGTTATATATAACTTATTTTATCATATTAAACCTTAATTTACTGCAAAATATATTATTATGCCTTAGATTATGCTAATCATATACTAGTACCATCATTAACCAATTAATATTGTGCATCCCATGAGCCTGGCTCTCGAGAAATAAGTTTCACTCTTGTTTGCTTTTGCATCCTCGGAGCCTGGCCCAGACCAGCATCGTTGCAACCAAACGCTGAGCTGCTACATCCAGGGAGCTTGCCGGCCCATATAGAGGGATCCAAACAGGCTATAACTAGATAATATCCACATGTAAGGGCATGATTTTATAGACAGTTTGCTAATTACAGCATAATGACTAGGAGACATGATGTCACTCTATCTACCTTACAAAGACAGTACTTATATTGGTTCAGAATGATATGTTTAGTCATTGGTTTCCCAACCCATAGTAACCAAGCTAGCTAATATGAAAATTGCTACCATCACAGTAGGTTATTGAGCCGTTCTCAAAATGATTTTTGCATTTGGTTTGTATCTTGTAGTGACTACATTATTATTTCTTAAAATGATTACCTGGTGACCCATGACAACGATATAGTAGATTCCATTTTGTCCTTGATAGCTTAAAATTATTTTGATTATGATTTGGGCATTTTCAATTGAAATGTTATCTAGATACTTTCTGCAGGTTTTAGAGCTACAATTTTAGTATATATATATATATAAATATTACTCCGAATTCATTATAAATTTCAAAAAATCTCAGTATATACGATAAGACTGCAAGAATAGCTCAATTAACTTAGGACTAACCAACTGTTGAGATCCCAATCTTTTCGTTCCATATGGTTATTGTTTCTGACTACATCTGTAGTTTGCTAGCTTAGTGGCAAAATGCTTTCAAAGATTGTGGTTTATTAATAAATTACATCCAATACTGGATTGAATAAAACAGGTCCACACCATGATGCAAAAATTTATCATATCTAATACATAGTTGAATATTAAATTAATTGTTGTTCATCCAAACATTATTAGGTATGCCAGATTGTTACAGGATAGGAATTTTTTTGTTGGTGCTGTACACATAACAGAATTGATACTATATGATAATATATATGATGTTGTCGGTATATAGTAGTCATGATACATCTATGGTATCTATATATATGATCTAACAGAAAAGTTTTTCCTACCTGTGCACATGCGTGAGTAACACCGGCCCACACCCCAACTCTTAAGCATCCTCACCGGGACGGCCGTCCCTATCTCCCCACTTGGGTGGTACCTAGCTAGACCTAACCAAGAAATAGTTGCTAAAAAATGTACTATTTTCCTTACGAAGTTGGTTGAAGACAAACTTTATACCTAAATATATTGAGCCCAACAGGATTTTAAACATTGTAGTGGATACCTTTTCCATTTAAGATTGTTTAGCAAACCTAAATATTTGTTATAAGCTTTCAGGTTTTTAAATTAAAAATTTAAATTTTTCTAATGGTGTTAGTTAGATACACATTCAATAAAAAACTGGAGTGCTCGAGTAGATTCAAAAGTTTGTAGTTGACAATTTTGTCATATGGGATCGTTTAAGAACCCAAATACTAAATATAAATTGTATAAATCAATATAAAACAATAGCACCCCTTATAATTGCATTTCCAAGTACATAAGTCAAAAAATTGTATTTATAGCGGGCAGTAAGACCAACCGCCCTTATATATAATTGCATTTCCCAGTGTAGAAGCACCTTATTTCTACAAATGCCTGCTGACAGATGATTGCGAAAACCACCTCTAGCAATTAAATCTAGCCATGTCTAGAAATTTATGTAGTAGTGTTGACTTGGAATAGTATTACATTACATTCCAAGTTCATCACTACTAACAAGATTATTTTTTGCAAGTTTAATGATCAAGTTCAGAAACTATATATCTCTGAGTTCATTATTTCGAGTTCAAAATTAATGATATACTCTAGCTAGTACTCAAGTCGGGAGGAGTTTATTACTTGTACGAAATCTCGAACAATTTTGTGGTGAAGACTACCTAAACTAGGTCTTAGTCATGCTAACTATTTGAATGGACTACAAGTATCTGTTCGGGACGGAGTAGGTGCATGCACTGACAAGACAGCAAGCTTAACTCGCTGAAATCAGTTGATGGGCCTAGGAATCCAGGACTCATATTGTACCATCAACAATTCGAAATTCTTACTCAAGCTTGTTTTAAGCTAAATTTGGTCGAAAACAGTATGTGCGTTCCAGAAATATTATAGCAGTATCCAGTAAAGGCGACGGTCCCAAAAATCGTATCTTGAGGGGCGGTTCTACGGTTCTCGTAACAGAACCGCCCCTAGAAATGGAAGTGGCAGTTTTCTTAAAGGAACCACCCCTCAAAATTGATTTCCAGCTATAGTGCCTCCTAAGTCAACCACCTCCGTTAGAAAAGGGAAGCGTCTGTAAAAATAATTTCTATACTAGTGCAATCTACTGGCTGGATAAATGTAAGGGTGTTGGGAGATGAAAAGAACAAACTTCGCCACAAATGAATGAGTGCATTGAGATTTAAACTCAACGCCTTCATCTATGTGAAAGGCGGGAAGAACAATGTCGGTCGTCTCAACTACAAGTTGTACTTGGGATTTGTATGACCGACACCAATGGACATAACGGCCCCACTCCCGAAGGACGGTGTCTGTGTGCGCCACAGCTGCTGCCATGTCAATGTTGCACTAGGCCTCATGGTCTCACGACACCACCGTGTCTGCAATTGTACCCAATGCAGGCTACAAGGGTACCCTAAACGTTGTTGGTGGATAGTAAGTTAATTATCTGCTTACAGTCATCTTGTTGTACAAGTAGAATGAGTGGCCGACCAAAGGTAAAAAAGCAGATGCATGCATAATAAACACAAAGAGGGCAGAGGGTTAGTAATACCTTGATTGGTCAATCCGGATGTATGCATGGATAGTATTGTTAACGCTTGCATATTTTGCAGATATAGATGAATGTACACGGCCGAATGATTTTCCCTGCCATGGCGTGTGCAAGGACACCGACGGATCCTATGAGTGCAACTGTCGAGCTGGTTATGAGAGCGATGGCGACCCAAAGAAAAACCCGTGCCGTCCAAAACTTTCTAGTTTAGCGAAGCATATCATAGGTATTCACACATCACTCATGCTTTAAACTTCTTCTCTAATATACAAACATGAAAATTTATGTTTTCTGGCACAAAATATTTTTATTCACCTTTTATTCCATTAATTGAAATTCATGATGGGAAATCATATATTTAGGAAACATGTTCTTGCATCCTTTACAAGGCTCCCACACCTAGTTCTAAGTATAGAAACATTTATTATAATTGTTATTTTTGTTATTAATGTCACCATCCATGTGCTTTTTTGAATGGCCAATAGCTATTTACAGATTGATTGTCCCTATCATTACTAAAAAAGAATTTTAGAAGACATGCCCTCTGATTAACAAAGGCTAAATGGTTAGGCGGTCGCAGGCAAATGCCGGTTCTTATTAATTGACTATTTTTTTTGAAACTATTAATCGACTATTTTTTTAAACTATTAATAGAGGTTGTCACTTATAAAGAGGGGCACCTCTACTAACCAATTTATATCTCTTATAAAGATAATCTCCACTATAAGTCTATGTCAACATACAAATCATCCTCTTTACCACCCAATAACTATTATTCCACGTCATCTCCCACTAATAACCATGTCATCCCACTAACTTCCAACATCTTAATGAAAGCTATATACCCGCATCATCTCCACTAACTTCTAGCAATGCGCGGGATATCTTCTAGTTAATAGAGATAAGACATTTAAAGATGCTCGCATCTAAGAAGGACTATTAATAGAGTTGGGTATTATAAGGGCCTGCCTCTAAAACTATTTTTCAAAAACATTCACAAAATTTTCATATAAACTCTGATAAATTCAAACTTTATTCCAAAATTGTATAGCTCCAAGCAATCTACAGCTTTTTAGTTGATACGGTTTTTATATGAAACTGTTTAGAGTCTCAATAAATTTGTTTTAAGTTCGGAGACATTGAAATTAAAAACTTCAAATTTTCAAACAACCTCACATGTTGTCACGGTACACACCAAAGTTATAATTCTCTGTACACTGTGCAGCTTTGTGGTTGAGAAGTCTCTGCTTGAAGTCATTTAGATTCCTAAACATTGATTTTATATTCTTATATTGTGAAATTCAAAACAAAGAAACTTCAAGAGTTATAGTTGTCAATGTGATATAGAACTTTGCATTGGCAAAAAAATGTTATCTAGAACTTTGCAGTTCACAAGTTTTTTATTTCAAACCATTCAAATTCCTAAATATTCATTTCAAAATTCTTAAATTTTTTATATTCAAAAGTTTGAATTTTTTGAACTATCTCAGATGGAGACATACCTTATACTAGAATGGAGCCTGGAAAGATCAAAAACTTTATAGTTATTTTTTTCTTTCAAATCATTTAGGGGATGAAACATTCAATACAAAATTCCTAAAAGTTTAAATAAAAATATAACATGGTATATAGAGTCACAAAAGAGCGTGTAGTATACCATAAAAAAAAAGAGTGCGTATAGTATAGTGGTAGGGAGCAAACATGTGATTCTTAGGAAATGCACGATTTTTGTTTTTTTGAATTCGTTGATTGAGGTGGGCCTGCTAAGGTGTTCAGCTCTGTTATTGGAATACTAATATAGACCATTTGGCAGAGGCTATTAGGCACATGTGTTAATAAAAAAAGGCCTGCCTCGCATATCAGTCTCAAATCCTTTGGATTGTCTCTGTTACTTAATGATAATAATTTTGTATCCTTGTTTTTTGTTCTTCTTGTTCTTTTCAACAGTTTAATACTCAGGTTCATGCGTTCATTCTTCTTTACTGTTTTGATACTTTGATACCACCAGACCATTAGGCCCTTGTAAACTTTCTGGATTTGACTAATTTGCTTTGCTTGCTTAAATCCTATTAATTCACTAAATGACATTCTAAGAATGTGTTAGTCCTAATGATTATATCATCATTAAGTCGTCTGAACTGCAAAGTGTATAGCTTATTGACCAAGTTGGGTACAACTGACATTTAAGTGGCATTATTGCAAATATAACAACAATGCTCCTGATTTATTTAGGGTTTCGTGAATGCTCCTGATTTATTTAGGGATTGAAATTATTCCACCCAACTTATTCTATATGCTGTAGTGGACAATCTTTGTTATTATGTTTGAATAGAAATGACTGGTTTGTTATTTCAATAAAATGATTGCAACTGATTACCACAACTATATTGTTTACAGGAATTACGAGAACTACTGATAGCATATCCTCTACTTATATTTGTAAATATGTTGTTTACAGGAATCACTGTTGGTGCTTCAATATTATTTTTTATTATACTTGGAACTGGGGTATGCTATATGCTGAAGCAGATAGAGCAAAAAGCAAAGGAGAGAGAACTGGAAGCAATTGAAAGAAAGAATGGAAGTGAGAGACTTAAAAATGTGAAAACTCTGATATTATTTACAAAAGATGAACTTGATAAAATAACCATGAACAATTCGGTGCCTCTTGGCAAGGGAGGCTTTGGTGAAGTTCACAAAGGGACTTTGTCTGACAAGACCGAGGTGGCAGTTAAGGCCTCAAATGAGGTAACTCAAGGTACACTGGAAAAGTTTGTGGAGGAAGTGGAAATCCAATCAAGGATGATGCACAGGAACATTCTCAAGCTCTTGGGTTGCTGCTTGCGGGTTGATGTTCCACTGCTGGTATATGAATATGCTGCTAAAGGAAGTCTCAAAGACATTCTCCACGGCAAACATAATGATCAGCAGCGTGAGCCTCTCACACTTAGGTCACGTTTGGACATTGCCATTGGCTCTGCTCAAGGTTTAGCTTACATGCATTCATACACAGAAAATGGCATACAACATGCAGATGTAAAACCAGACAACATACTCCTCGATGGTGGGTTGGTTCCAAAAATCTCGGATTTTGGGTTATCAAAGGTAACTGTAGCGGGCAAACAATATACCATGAATGTGATAGGGTGTTTGCCTTACATGGATCCAGTGTACAAGGATACAGGGAGGTTAACTCCAAAAAGTGACGTCTATAGCTTTGGGATTGTTCTCTTAGAGCTGATTTGTAGAAGGCCTGCTGTAGATGGTGAAAACATTCTTGTCAAGCAGTTTAAGAGTGTTTATGAACAAGATAACACTGGAAGGGTGTTTTTTGACAAGGATATTGCTGAAGAACAAGATATTCCTATCCTTGACGAAATTGGAAAACTAGCCATGAAGTGTTTAAATGAAAATGTTAATGAAAGACCAGCTATGGCGAGCGTCGCAAGTACACTTGTGATACTGAAAGATTCTTGGGAAGAAAAAAGTCAAAGTTCCTCTTCTACTTCAATCAACTAGCTAGGGGCTATTTGATGGAGCTCCCCCTGTAAGTGATTCTCTAGGGATGTGACTATGAAGCTGAACGTGATAATCTATGACAAACTGTTTCGAAGAAATGATTTGGTTGAAGACACTCTATAAGTTTGCAAACTATCATCTGACAAAGCTCCTTAGGAATCACTATACCAGTTTGCTCTAGGAGCTCTACTGACGAGCTCTCAGTGTTAGACTTTTGATGTCATTATGGTCTTATGCACTACATCGATGTTGAATCTATCATAATCAAAACATCTAGAGCATTGCACAAGACACAAGATAAAAAGGAATATATCCTTCAGCGTTAGCATCAATAATTAATTGTTTTCCATGCCATTTGCTTCATGCTTTTTGTGTCAATTATTTGCTGTCGTTAGTGAAGACATGCAAGATGTTATTTATTATTGTATGTTATTGGTGTTTAAGACAATGTAATGTTCTATATTGTGAATAAGAAATTAGCTATTTGTCTCTATATTGATCATGTTTCGTGGATTATTTACATGTGGTATTCAAGCTCTTATTTTTTACAACACGTTAACCGCAACCTATATAGGTGAATCTATGGAAGGTCATCATTGAATTATCTAGTTTTCAAAATAGCCTTTTCTCTAGCTTAGCCCAATTCATGCATGATTCCGGATAATCCTGTTAATTGGAAAACAAAATAGTTCGAAATCCGTATGACTACACAACCTAGAGTTGTAGGATAGATCATAGACTATATTATGGAAGAGATATAGTATATATATGTAATCCAAGGGGTAGAGTCATATGTACCATCTGTATCCTTAATCCTTATAAGATAGTCATCTTCTGTGAGGCTTTCTAAGGAATGATTTTAGCCTTCAAGATGAAACTGATATATTAGTCTAGAGGATGCGTTCCCCGTGGCATAGCTTCGTGTGGAAAGATCTCGGGGAGACAAATCAGAGAGAAGAAAAAACAGAATGGGAGCAAGCTCCCATCGGACTCCCTTCAAAATACACCATTTTAGTAGTGTAAGTTTGACCAATTATAGCTAAAAAAGTATCATAATAAATACCATTAGATTCATTACCAAATGTATTTCCATAATAAATTGATATGAAGCCATAAAATACTATTTATTACAAAATTGATCAAATGTGAACCACTTCGTAACGGACACGCAATATGTAGTTATATTCTTATTGGGACAGAGGTAGTATTAATTATGTGGGTATCCCTATTGTTATCCGTGCATCTTTAGGACAGTAGTAGTATCTTGACCTCCGATCCCATCCTTGTGTGAATGATAGCTGTATATTTAGAATAATATTTATAGTTCACACATGACGGATCCTTGTACAGTCTATTCTGGCCTCCTGTTGCTACGTACTATGCATTTTGGGCATAGCCGACAATTCCTTGTTTTGCCAGTATCAGGCCGACGCACCTAGGGGTCCAATCCCAGCACGGAGAACAAGATCACTGCTGCAATGCACAATTGGTGGCAGCAGGCCAGGGCCCCCCATCGCACGCGGATCACGTGCTTGCTAGCAGCGGCGGATCTGCCGGGCGCTGGAGGCTCGAGCCCCCTACCGTGGCTAAGCCTGTGGGACCCCCTCTAAATTTTTTTTTGTTATTGGAGGATGGAAAGGAGGAGCTTGTGCGTTGAGATGAGGTTGAAGACGATGCTCGAGTGTTGAGCTGAGCTTGCTGCTTTTGTCCCCGTGTGAACTTAAGCTCCCCTTAGATTTTCATCCTAGATCCACCACTGCTTGCTAGTCAACATACGCAAAGGACATCTATACTGCTCTCTCCAGCTCTAAATTATAAGACATTTGATTTTTTAATACATTGCTTTTACAATATATCTAGAAATATTGTACTCCCTCTATCTACAACTCTATCTACAAAAGAATATAATTCTCGTTTTTCGAGATGTCAAACCGTTTAAATGACTATGACTATAGTTCTATAAAATATACAAACATTAATCATATAAAATAAATACCACTAGATTTGTTATAGAATATATTTTTATTATAAATTTATTTAAAAACATAAATGTTAATAATATTTATTATAACTTTTGTCAAAGTTGAGCTATTTTATTCGTGGACGGACCGAGTATATCCATGTATCTAGAGAAGCCTAGTTGTTCCATCATGCTTGCAACGATGTAAGATCATTATCAAAGCCATTATTCACACGACAGCTGCAGCAGCCTTACAGCACAGCAGCTCACCAGAATTAAATTGCGTGGCTTGCTTTTTCTACCTTGTGTAAGGTCACTATCTAGGTACAGTACAGAGATCTAGTATTTGGCTTATTTCGGCTGATTTCAGCTGACTCAATAGTGTTCTGTGAGAGAGAATAAACTGAAACAAGCTGAGACAAGACAAGCAGAACATGCTGCAACAGTTTTCTTGTCTTCATGGTAATCATCCAAATTTCGACACTTACACCTTAAATGCTAAACTCTTCCCGGCTTCTTATCAGTTTGTTCACCACAAGCTTCTTGTTTTGATTTATTTAAAAATTCATGACTTATTCAACCACCAAAAGCAGTTCTATACTTTATGAGGTTAAAAATTTGTCCAAAAAAGAACGACAAAAATGTGGACATTATTATTTCCTACTCCCTTCTTCCTATAATACAGGGTATTCTAGTATTCAAAATTTATCCTCAAATATAATGCATTCCAGAAGATAAATCAATTTTGTATTAATTACTTTTCATTTATCAATTAATCACCATTAATCATGGTGATGATAGCGTCTGATTAGGAAGTAAAACGAGTGGGGGTGGATCTGTAGCCCAGGCCTCTGGGGCTCAGGCCCTAATCATTGACCCAGTAACATTACGTACCCTGTGTAATTTTCAGCCCAATAACAAAGGTCCAGCAGCAAACCTATAGTCCTCCGGCCTCACCCATCTCAGTTCGCCTGTCCATCCGTCACTCCGTCTCCCTTGCACCGCACGAGCTCGCGGCCGCACGGGAGGTGGCAAGGTCGCGAGGAGCTAGCTGCCTATCCCGGCGCAGCGCCGCTCATCCCACCCGGGCTCCCGTTCAGCTTCCGCGGCGCCGCTCGTCGGCTGTTTTGCTGGTGCCGCGCAGGCCGCAGGCCGCAGCGCTAGCCGCCCCCGCCCTCTAGCTCCAGGTCATTGGCCCGGCGGCCCCTACCCTCTAGCTCCAGGCCTGTGACCCCAGCCCCAGGCGCACTGGCCGTCGGACCGTCTGCCCGTGCCCCCTGGTTAGTTTCTATATTGAATTTCTTTTCGGATTCAATATTTCAATTCGATTGATTTGAAATTAGAAACATGGATGATGGATTTACAGAATTTCCACAATGAAGAGGTCAAGGACATTGCAATCATATTTCACCCTGCTCAGCGTGTTGGTCCAGATCAAGAGAACTACCTAGTAGAACTCGTTAAAATGGTATGCTACATTCAGATTACAAATGTATGTTTAGTAAATAATCTTTTTTACGACCTTTTCATTTATATTTTGATCTTATTCATAAGCATAGCTTGACGAGAAGATAGAAGATGCGAATGCACCATCTCATCATGTGTATCATACACATTCTTAGCTTCTTAGAGGCTCTAGTCTTTAGTAAAACCTGGATCCGCCACTGAAAATGTAACACCCGGTTTTAAGGACAAAGTCGAATGCACACCATATGTGAGCCATAGAAATCAAATCTCACATATAGCTACAACTGAAGGGGCAGTATCAATTCATAATGCTTAATATATAGCGAACTTAGCAAAAGAGATAACCTTAGAAAGCAATCAACGGATAGACAACTCTGATCTCCGGGTGCAGACTTCACTCCACTAGATCCAACTGACTGGTTGATCACAAGCCCAACTTCTCAAGTCTCTGACAGACTGTTATCCAGCCTGAGGTGTGGGGGAAATTGCAAGAGTGAGTCCATGTCCAACTCCGCAAATATAGCAACAAGGTAGTGTAATCCATAACCACATGATCAAGTGTAATTGAATAATGAATTGCACATAAACAATTTAAATGAACATACAACAATTCCCTCAGTTTTCTGGGCCGCCCGTATCCGTGGGCACGGCTAGTATACCAGTTTATCAAACTCTGCGCAGAGGTGTACACTTTCACTGTGAGTCATGATTCTCATATGCCTGGGTTAGCTAGGCCCAAAACACAGAGAACCATATAAAGCCACCCAAGAGCTCGTCTAACCGGCCAGGGCCGCAGGGTCATCAGATATAGGAACCCCCCTTCCAAAAATCAAGTAAAAGGCCGCTTCCAAAGCTAGGCTCAACAGGACAGAGGTTGTCCTATACCCAACTCACAGACCTCTAACCAGCTAAAAAAGGGTTTCTTAAGCAACTTGAGCCAGAGCCATATAGCCCTCACAGCTGTACTGTAAGTCCCAGCTTTTGCCAAAGGATAACATTCATCATTTATGTTTATATCACATTTCATTAAACAAGCCCAAGATCATGGTCACAGAAAGAAAACCCAAGCTATACTTGCCTTAAACTCGGATCCTTCTTCAAGTCCAAACCTTCAAAGAACTGCTTCTTGCTCACCAACTTGTTCTAGATCACCGATGCAAATCTCACGGGCTGGACACGATCAAAGAACACCACACAAGCATCCGATCAAACATGCATAGCAAACATAGAAAATTTAGAACAATACACCAATCAATAAAAAGGTTTGAAAACTAGCCTACGCATTGCTACGATCACACAAACGCGAAAATCACACTAATCAGACCTATGGTGAAACGAAAACGTCTATCGATATGCTTTATTTATTTTAATGATTATAAAACATGTGTAAGATATCTCAGAGAAATATCTAAATTGAGTTAAGTCATTTTATACTTGAGTTATTAGATTTAGAAAACTAAGATAAACTATTCATATCTTAATTATAGTTATTTTGATATCATTTATGCAAATTAAATTTTGACTTACAAAGATATAATAACAAGTGAGAGTATATATTCAAAACATATATAGCACGTATAAGCCCTTGCATTTATTATTTTTAAAAGGAAAACCAAAATGATGTAAGCATTACATCAGTTTAGGATTTATCAATGGAATAATTAATAATGTATTAAGGAGCGGATGTGCATGTATTATTTAATCAAAATAAACTTTAACTTTTCAAATTAAAAGAACATGTAAGAGCATCTACACTATAACTGAATATGACGTGAGTTCAGCTAAACAAATTATAATCAAAACATATATTTAAATTGATATAACCAGTTTAATATTCATTTATTAAGGCCGACGTGGAAAACCTATATTGCTTTTAATTAATTTAGAAAGCTAGTTGCACATTAATCTTAATCAAGTTAATATTTAAGTTCACAATGTATAATCCTAAATCTGAGCTAAAACAAATCATGTTTTATTTATAAATATTGCCGTATAGATTAATCAAGTCAAACTTTAACTTTGCAAAAGTAAAATGCACGTGAGAGCATCTAACAAGTTTAATATATGCAAGGTGTGTTTAAACTAATCAAACTATAATTTAGGAATACATTTATATTAATAATTAATCATATGAATATCATTTATTAAATACTGAAGTGTAACATATATATATATATATATATATATATATTGCTTTTAAGTTAGAAAGCTAATTGGTTGTAGGTTAATCAGATTAATATGTAAATTATAAAATTCATAGCCAGGTGATAGGATGACCGTCAATACTAACACGTAAATTACGTCGGCACGAAACTTACATAACTTGAACAAAGCAAAACGCAGAGACGCGGCGAGTACTTACAGCCCGAACTAGCTGACAACCGGTTCGGCTACCAAATGCTGCTGGTGCGTAGCACCCAAGGACATGTGCAGAGAAGACATATATGCGTCGTGGCCTTGCATCCTTAGGAGTGGCTGGTGCTTCTTCACGTGTAGTAGATGTAGGCAGGAAGCACGGCTAGCATATCGTCAACTCGACGACCGGAGAAACAAGGCAGGCCTGCAGCTCTGCTAGGCCGGAAGATAGATCGACTTGGTGCAGAGCCGGCTTGGATTGCAAGGTATCGCATCACGCTGATTCAAGCAGCACGACGCTGGGTCTCGGTCTCTCGGACTCTCGGTCGGGCGCAGGCCTGGGCTTCAGGACGGTGGCGGCGTGCCTTCACGGACAAGGAGCTCCAGCGATGAGGAAGATCGATGATGTACAGGTACAACTCGTCGGGGCACGCGGCGGCTGCTACCAGGATGCCTCAGCGACTTTGGTGGACGGACTGCTTCTCGATGGCGTGATTTAAAGCGATGGCAGGAAGGAGCTAGGGCTCACGCAGATGGAAAACAAGGTGCAGCACGTCAACATCTCGACCTTCTTATAGGGGTGGATCGAGTCGTGGTTTCTACACGAAATATCCCAGGAACCACGGAAGATTCGTAGGCCGAGTCCGAGCTAGGTACCAACATGTCTGTGACTCAGCGAAAGGGGAAGCTGGGCCTGCTGCGATGAGGACCTGAGGGAGTGCGAGTGGGCTGCTCGACCTGGGCCTAGGCACAAGGCCGAGAGAACGGGGGAGTGGGCCTGCTGCTCCAGACGCCCATAAAGCAGAGGAGGAAGAATAAATAAAAAGAAAGTTTTTTTTCCTTTTATTCAAAAGCCATTTTCAAATCCTTTTCAAACATCGTTTGAATCATTTTTTTTTTGGTCAAAACCACACATCACAACAAAACCAATGCAGAGGTATGTGTGCTCAAACATGTTGCAACCTTATGATTTATTTTATAAATTCATCAAAATTTTAATTTCCCTATGTTAGAATGCACACAAAAAGCATAATAAAATCAAAATTAAACCTCTTTTTTAGAAATCAAAATTTTAGGGTGTTACAGGTTCATAGTAGAATTGAAAATGCAGTTGCGTATATGTTGCTTGCGTCTTAAAATTCAGACCATGCATTAGCAGTTACTCTGTCTTTGAGGTAAAGAATGTGTCAGGCTCAAATGGTAGCAGCAGCTTATTCAAATTATAGCCGCTAGGGGCAGCACTTATTAATTCTTTAACCCAAACAAAATCATTACATTGATCTGGTTGGTGTAATTCAATTTTTGGACAAATGGATTATACGTTTTATCTCTTTCTATTGGTTGTATGTCTTTCTCTAAAATAAAATGGTCTATATGCTTCTACAGATTGAAACAATGTCTTATTTCTTAGCAATAATTTGGATATTTTTGTGAAAGCGCTGACTAGTATAGCACCTCATGTATGTTACTAGTTTGGTACATGTCAAACTGCCTGTTAAAACCATTTGTTTTGTTTGGTTAATTCTTTGTTCTATTTTCTCATGTAGGTATGCAACCAGCAAATCTACGACTTAGGCCAAAAGATAGTGTGGTGGAGGAAAATGTAAAATAGACATGTCTCTTTGTTCCAAGTGAGTTCCATCTCTCAGTCTTTTTTGTTACATTGTTTCAGATGGGAAAACTGAGGTGACACATTCAAAAATATTTCAGCTTTAGGGGACTGAAATTGGGGGTGCATCCTGCAGCTTGGAGATGCTATGAAAACAGTATCTTGAATATCTTGCATATATCAACCTAATCAATCATTTTGATATGTGATATTTGAATTGACAGATGAATTCATGGAATTCTTTTCCAAGTTTGGAAAGGTTGTGTAGCTGTACCAAATGATGCTGTAGTTGGCAGATGCATGTAATCTTTGGCAAGTGATACCTCTTGTAAAGCCAAAGGTGCAACCTGCATGTGGTAAGTCTTATTTGTTACTTCCACTATTTCATCTCGAACATACAGTGCGTACTAGGAATTGGTGGAATCAATGTTCACAAGTTTTGACCAATAATTACTCAAAATTTGAACATGTTTAGTCTACAAGAGTTGCACCACTAGATTCCTACTTGGAATATCATTAATACCGATATTGATTTTGTATTAATTGGTAATATACTCTATGAGAGATTAATGGTCCAAGTATAGTATGGTTTACTTTCTCCAAACATAATACACCCTATATTTTGGGATAGAGGGAGTATTAGTATAAGTAAATTATGCTAAATCTAGTAGGCAACTGATCCTTGAGTTAGAAATATTTGTTGAGTGGTGCTCACAGAAGGCCTCTACAACTGGGGTTTTTGTCTTGTAGTGAAAAAAGATGTCAGAGTGAAGGCACTTGAGGCAGCCGAAGAAAAAACAGGAAGAGGAACAGAAGAAGAAAAGAGGTACTGATGTGGCAACAAGGAAGAGGCAGAGGGATGAGGAGGAAAGGAGGGAAAAGGAGAGAAAAAAAGAAATGCATTGAAGAAGCTCGAAAACAACAGACACGACCTATGGAAAGAAAGCACGCCAACAATGACAAAGAAGCTCATCCAGAAGCTCATGTGAGTAGAAGTTACATTGTTTATGTCTACCAAGTGTTCCTTAATATGATAAATATTTGTTACTAAGCATTTAAGTCGTTGCAGGATAATAAGGAGCGACAGAAGAATTTGGCTGAAGCGGTGAAAATCCCAGTAAAAGTTGATGAAATGACAGGCCTTGGAGGAAAGGCCACTAACAGTCACAATGAAATGGTTGTGATAACCGATGAGAGGCCTGCAATTTTTGGATCTCATTGTCAGGAAAATATCCCAAACAGTATTGAGGAGGTATGTTCTAGTCTTCACTTAGCTTTATCTTAGAAAGAACCTTGCGAGATCTTAAGTCTTAGAAAGTGCTGGGATACAAAGACGGCATATTATTTTTTGATGGGGAAAATGATGGAGATTCTCCAATTGGGCTACTTTGATTTCATTTGGTAGTGTTATTTCACTTCAGTGTCAGCAAAGGTTCTAATTGCGAATTCTCTGCTATGTGGTTTGTTGAACTTTTGTAGTCATACCAGCAGTTCTCAGCTCTCAAGAGATCTCAGTCAATGCTTGATCTGCAGGATGTGACAGACTCAACTGCCATGGTCACTCCCAGGGACAAGCGCATGAAGAATTAGCAAAAGTTGAATAGTATCAGGGACAAGCGCATGAAGAACTAGCAAGAGCTGAATCTTGGTTAGTATGAGGGTTTTGAATGTATTGATGCCGGAACATTTGGACATCATCTATGTACCTATGAATGTGCTCAACATTTAGACACCTATAAATGTATTTATTATGTTGTGATGTGTCATGAAATTACTGTATGGACAATATATATTTCAACATGCTGTTGCTACTGTTTTAAAATAATTTTTTTTGTGTGTTTAACTCTTTTTTTCCGTGAGGCTGGCTACACAGAAATATTATTTTTAATCTGGACGAAATTAATTTTTCTGTGAGTTCAACTAGACCGACAGAAAAAAAACATGTGTTTTTCTGTGCGTTTATTTCTTTTTTCTGTGTGGATTAACACACAGAAAAATTAGTTTTAATCTGGGCGAATACAATTTTTCTGTGCGTGTGAAACCCACAGAAAAATTGTTTCTGACGGTGAACCCACAGAAAAATTCCGTAGGTATTTTTCTGAGGGCACACTGTCAGAAAAATATTTTTCTGACAGTATTCGTATTTTTCTGCGTGTTTTCGCACACACAGAAAAATACGAGTTTCCAGTAGTGTAAGTCTAGTGAGCTTTGTTTATAGCCAAAATAACTTAGCAAAATTCAACATAGATAAGAGTGAAAAGAGAAAATAAAATTAGCTTGGCGCTAGTAGTTCATCCGGTCGTATCCCCCGCTAGGCAACTGTCACGCGCCCAGCTTGTCGATTTGTGAGTCCCGCATGGATTTACTCTAAGAGATGGCATCTGACTATCTTTCTAAATCCAACAAACTTGTCTAATAGTTAAATCATGTCATCAAAGAATAAAGTTTGGGAGATCATGCATACTCCGTACAACAAATTAGATATTCACATTTTGCAACACATTATTAATTTCTATTTATTTTAGGCCCTAGCATCAGTTTTTTTTAATCAACCAAGCAGTCGGCCTTATCCCATCCGTCCAGACCTCTTCCGTGCTCACCAATAGGAGCAAGATAGCATGTCACTACTGGCTGCCCTTGCTGATGAGCACATGGTCCATGGACCACCTCCACTCTTCTGCCACTCCCTCAGAGCACCCACAATGACTTATAAGTTAGCTGTAAGTATTTTTTTTCATATTTGAATGAAAGAGAGAAAAGCTAGCTTTTGATTAAGAGTTAGGCTCATAGACACAATCCTATACAGTATGAGAGTGTCATGTAGAGCTATTTATGTTATGAGCTATATGCTAAAAGTTAGCACTATTGAAGAAGTTGCTTAGGGCAGTTCCAATGAAAGAAACTAATAGTTTCTATAGCATAGGATACCGCACCAAAAAAATACTGTTTTTCAACCCATGATTTCTATGAGTAATAATTATTTTCTCTTTCTCTCTCCTAACTCTATCTTCTTCCTCCAATGGGAGTGCGGCACGAGCCCCCTAGAAACTGGTGGTTTCTCCCCAATGGCGATTTCATGGTTTATTGGTGCATTGGGTCAAGAGAAGACCTGGTTTCTTCATGAGGAAATCATTTCTATGATTTTTGCTCTCTTTCTTCATTAACTACGTTGCCTTGCCATGTCAGCATTTTACCTACTTGGCAAGTCATTTAATGAGGATAGAAACCATTATCAATACATCATTGGGAGCTAAGGCCATAATCAACGACAATTATTTTGTACTATGAATTAATAGATTATTACGCTCGGTCATTGAATTAATAAACAACGAAGCACAAAGCATCCCAGTATCGTAGAGGGGAAAAAATTGAAGAGGCACCCGAGGCTCGAGGCAGTGAGACCAGACAAGAGGCACATGGGTGCATGCATCGGCCCACTTCGAAGTCTGGACTGAAGTAAATTCCTCTTGTCTGGACTGAAGTGGGCCCACTTCAGTAGCTACGATCACGTAACACTGCTTCACTCCAGCTGCAACACCACCACCAAGGTCATAATAAGGACACGCGCAATAATAAGAGTTAGTTACTAGCTCTAAGACAATCTTTAAAATAGTGTTAACTTTTAAGTGGAGACTTACACAAGAAAAACAACAATAGACATACTAATAACTTGCGTAGTTAACATCTATATATACCCCTTGTCAAAAAAATAATCTATATATATCATGTAGCAATAGTAAGAGCTAATTACTATCTCTAAGACAATCTATATAAATCAACAATGTTTCAGCATGCCGCTTCAGTTTGAAACCCATTTGAACTAGTGCTATAGCATGGGACATGTTTAGAGACCCATGAATTTAGGGACACACACTACTACAAGAATCTTAACCGAGGTGGACAAAAAGCATTAACCGAGGCGGTTTTGCCAACCGCTTCCGTCGAAAGGTCACGGTTAATCGGACCTTTAATAGAGGCGGTTGAGCAACCGCCTCGATTAATAGATTAACCGAGGCGGTCGGCATAAGACAACCGCCTCGGTTAATGCAATTAATGGAGGCGGTTGAGTTAAGTAGCCCGCCTCGGTTAATAATTTCATGAAATAAAAAAACCCCACCGAGCCTAGTACCACACACCGACGTTGCCCGAGGCAGGATCCACGCTGTCGCAGCCGTTGGTAGCCAGATCTGTTTGGTGGTGGCCGGATCCGTGCCCCCACCGCTGCTGGTGACTGGATCTGCGCCCCTGCCACCTCCGGTGGTCGGATCCACCGCCAGTGGACAGTTAGAGGCCGGATCTGGTGGCCAACGCACGAGGGACAGGGAAGGGACGCTATGCTCAGAGGAGAAGGAGGGGCTGCCGTTCTGTGCTCAAAGGAGAGAGAGGGCCGCGGTCGCCGGTGTGGGCCTCCCCGCGCGTTGCCGCTACATGTGGTGGCCGCTGTATCCAGAGGGGGTTGGCCCGTGCGCCTCCTCCTCCCCGTGCGCCTCCTCCTCCCCATCCGCCCATCCTTGGCTTTCGGTGCTTCTCCTTCCGTCCTCCTTAGTCTCGGCCAACCTTCGGGCCCCTCGCCTGGTCACACAATCAAAACATAACGAGCTAGGATACCCTCGCCGTGGGGGTTAGCATTTGCGACGAGTCATGTTAGTTAAGCCAGCGCCGGGCCGAGGGCTAGCGTGGAGCGGTGCCAGGGGAACCTCCCCCCAATAGTAGCCCCTCGAGGGTCGGGGCCAGCATGATGGGTTAGAGCCACGATAAAACTTGTGGAGGGAGGCATGCTAGGGTACGTAGCTTGCGGCCCGACGCAACGACGCCCTATCATGCTCGACCAGTGCTAGGCCTTTGTTAATTTGGAGCGATTTTGGGCCTAGTGTGCTGCTTGATGGGACATGTGATTGTAGGAGGTAGTTTCGCCTTTTTTCTCAGGAACTGCGACGCTCTCTCAGTTGCTGTTTTTTCGGGATATGTGACGCCTGCCTTCCTTTGGTGTGGGTGATGGACGCCTATAAATAGTTGTGGTAGGTTTAGGGTTTTTCATTGTGGATCCTTTTGTTTGTTGGCCTCCTGCTGCTGTTGAGATTGCTAATCAAAGGTTGAATCGCTGCGAGGCCTACTTCTTATGCTAGGTTTTGTGCTCTGTTGGCTTCCTCTACCTCTCCCTAAGGACTTATCTGTAAGTGATCATCCGGGACTTACAGTACAGCTGTGAGGGCTACATGGCTCTGGCTTTAGCTTAGTATGAGGACATTTTCTTGCTTGTTAGTGGTTACCTTTATTGGCGTAAGAATGGCTTGACGAATTGGGTATAGTGCGGCATCTGTCCCCATGTGAATAGGCTGCGTGTCAATGTGCCATCGGGAAGGGGGGCTCTACATCTGTTTGCCAAGTGAATCTAATGGCCCTAACTTGTTAGACGAAACTTTGAAAGGCTTCATAGTGACCCCTGCCTACTCACCTTTGAAAGACGCATATCAGTTGGATTCAAACTATGCGCACCATGCTCACCGTGCTACCATGGAGGACAGCATAAAAGATACAGCCGGTGAAGCTTGCATAGGCCTCTGTGGTCGTCGATTTGAGGATATGAAGAATGACCAATATCGATTCCTCCCTTACCAACACCCAGAATTGGGATGGGCGATGATGGACCCGCAGGGCACGGATCCAACAACCCAAGTAATGGTACACTTTGGCTATGATTCCGTAGCAAAGATTCGTCGATTGGAGGCTCAATTGAAGGCACAACAGAAAACCATCAAGAGACACCGACAGGTGACAGATGAACAAAGGGTGTGCCTCAACTTGCCAAAGATGTACGAGGAGCTTCCCCATAAGTCTCACTCATAGATGTTGGAGTCCCTTTTATGTAATAAAATGATAGTAGAATGAGTCAAGTTGAGTCTAGTCTAGTCTATTAGTGCGGTGTGAACATTGGTGTGCTTAGTTGATTTGTTATTGTGTTTATGTGTGAGTTGGATTTTTGTAATGAGTGCTGGAAATTTGTGGGCATGCCCGCAAGTTCCATAGTTAAGAATATTAAAGTTTGGGTCAATAAATAAATAGTTGGGTTTGTTACATCTTGTTCTCTCGGAATCTGTTTTTTCGGAGCAGTCTGCCTTTATCTTCATGCCAATTAAAATTGACTCAACAAAAAATTATGAAATTTTTATGGGAATAACTAGACTTAGGTATCTTTCCAATGCCTCTGGAATCATGCTTATATCTGGTTTTTTTGTGAGATATCGCTGTCTCAAGATGAAGTTTCTGCGCAGTCTAGAATCTGGAAACAGTTTCGGTTGTATCCTATTTTTGAGTAACCGAACTATAGAATCTCGGAATTTCGTCTGCATAAAAGTTGTAGATAATTTCTTAATATTTCCAACCATATAAAGTACGCCTCATTTGGATTTCTAGAACTCGAGATATGACTATTTTACCGAGCTACTGATGTTGAGACTCGTCCAAAAAAATTTCAGAATGTATTCTAACTTGGAAATTTCTAAATTTTGAATATTTGATAGCAGATGTCTGGAAGAGGAAGAGGCCGAGGTCGTGGAGGTGTTCCCCCACATCCACCACCACCACCGCCA